GTAATGATGAGGGGAGCAATATGGAATGGGATAGGATTAAATAGTGAAATACGATAAATGTATATAGGGAGAGAAATAAAAAATATTTACTGGCCCATCTGCTTTGGATTTTGTTCTCAGAGAGGATGATTGTGGATTAAGGATTTTACAGAGCGCACAGTTTTTGAGGTATTAATATTTAAGTGGCAGAAATACTTTGCTGATGGTCATAGCCTCGTTGCTAGATGGGTCGATTATTGTAACTAAGGTATAGGGGAGGATGTGTCTGCTCCAGTCGGCTTGGAAAGGCCGGTAAAGTAACGACAAAAAGGCAAAATACCGTGACTGGAACAATACACAAATAACCCGCACATAGGAGAAAGAAGTCGTGACTACGTTTCGGTCCAACTTGGACCACTGACTATTAGGTAAATCTGCTGAAGTTCCCTGCTACTCGGTAATGTTCACATGAGTATGGTGTTTGTTCCAGATGCTGAGTGTCATGTAGGCGAGAGGAAAGTCTAAGTTAAAACTGTCTTCTGTGCTGGTGTGGTTGTCTTCAAACAATGTTGTTTTCAGCCCTTTCCCGGTCCTTAAATGTGAGAAAATGTTCTTATGAATAACACTAGTTTTTAGGTTTCTTTCGGCTTTCCTTATATGTACATTGCTGCAATCTTCACAAGGGATAATATATACACCCGCCAATTTTTTATCGCTGTTCTTTAGTTTAGGTCGTGTGAGGTTCCTGAGAGTTTGTGGTGATGGCGGAAGAGTTCTTTTTCATATTACCAAGATAGGAGAGAGGTTAAGGGCTATGTACCCCGTGGGTAAAATAAATCTTCATGAAGTGTCGTTCTCAACTTTAGGAGTTTAGTTGATGCTACTGGCCCTTCCCTCATCATGTGTTGATCCTGTTGAAATTAATTTTTAAAGAACCTGAATTATGAATTAGCACGTGAATTCATCGTTCAGGATTTCTGTGGCGCTTATTCTGAGTGCTCCGAGAATAAAGCCAAAATTGACTCCTCTTTTAATTTTTGTGCTTTGATGGGAAATGAATCATTGAGTCCATTAAGACCATCCTTGAGTTTCATGACATCAAATCATCCTGGGATGATCAAAATATCATCTATTTAGCGGAGCCGTATAATGTTATGTATTATGTTGAATAGGAGGAAAAGAAGGGCTGCCGATTATTCTTAGAAGTCCTCATCATTAAAATAATAATAATATAATATCTTTATTTCTACATGTACATGTACAAGGTATACAAGTCTAACTGACATCATTGACATACTATATAGAAAGCCACTTGTTATGCAGAGCATTTCGGGCAAATTAGGTTAGTTTTGTCCCAGGGATCGTCCCACACCAACACAGACAACCAGTGTAGGGAAACACACCCAAAGTTTTCTCCTTTGCCTGGACTCGAACCCGGACCTTCAATGTTTGAAGTGAGAGCTTTTGCCACCAGGCCACGGTGTATTCAAGTATTCAAGAAGCCTATAACTTAAGGTGATTTAACCCGTTGTTTTCCCACCGAATCAAGACGGTAAGTCAAGACGCCTGATTCGTTTGTTTCTCGGAGTTTTTAGAACAAGCGGAATGGAGATCCCGAAAGATGAATTCGCCTACATAATTATTATCGCCACTTTCCTAAAATTTCATATGAACGTAATCAACACTTGAAGACGGAAGGCCATTGATCCGCTAAATCCTTAAAAATGAAAACGACAGTACAAGATGACATGGCCTCCATCTTGAGGAAGATGGAAATAGACTCTTCCACCATCACCACAAAAATTCGAAGGAACTTCAGCCGATTTATATCGAGAAAAAGAGAGACGAATATTCCACGGGTGAATATATATCATCCCATGTAAAGGCGTCGATAATATATACATAATGGAAATCGAGAGAAACCCGTAAACTCGCGTTAACGAACACAAGTACACCTGTTGCATCAACAAAGAAAATACAGCATGTGTGAAGAATGAGACATGTATGCAACACTTGACTGAAGAATCCTGAACAACAGGCAAATACAACACTGGAGACAGTAAAAATGGAAGTTTTTGGCGTGATCTGTCCGTCAGCCTTGGAAAGAGATGGTCAGTCCCTCAAGGCTAATGAGTAGAGCAGAAGTGAGGTAAAACAGTGAGGAGTGTGACGTGGCAGGTGAGCGTGGATCACTACTAGGTCCTGATATGCTGTTGTTTTGCAAAGGAGTTGTAGAAGACTTTCCTTGCACCAAGATACCATGGAGTTGCTTTGTTAGACAAGTATCATATTATTGATGGCAAATAATACTGACACGTTAATGAATATTTTTCAGTTTGATGGTTTTGTATATCATCAATAATATAAGAGGCTTCTGTGGTGCATATAGACACTTTCTCACATTTTGTGGACTAGGAATGGACTGAATTCAGCATCAATGAAGTCAGCACACCATCATAATATTACAGATCATTTACATACAGACAGGTTGATCAGTAAGTCACATGTGCAACACGTAGGTATCTCCTTATTCAAAATATTCCGCTCACGTAGCTGCTATTGTACCTTACAGTCGACTAAAGAAGTCTCCTGTGTGTAGTGTTTCAGTAATATAAATCACGTGTTTCACGTGTGAAGTCTTTAGAACCAGCTTTAATTATGACTAAATACGCGATTCCTCAGTAAAAAGGCTTCCAGTGTAGCCTTGCTCCTCGCCCACATCATTCTCAAGATGGATAAATAAGATACATGTGCAACATTTAGGTATGCTGACTCAGGAGCGTTGCACCTACACAACATCTTCATCAACTTGATAAATGAATCTCAGCATGGATTCACGAGAGGTCGTTCCTGCCTGACAAACTTACTGACGTTCTTCAATAGAACATCTGAGGCAGTTGACAGCGATTAGGAATATGATATTATTTATTTGGATTTTAGTAAAGCCTTCGATAGAGTACCTCACAAGAGACTCTTAAGGTCCGGAGCTGGGTGGTAGGAGGTCCGGAGCTGGGTGGTAGGAGGTCCGGAGCTTGGTGGTACGGTTACAGTCATGTTCAGTTACAATACAGTTGCAGTATACACATGCCCCCAGTGACCATGACTTCCTATGGACTTTGGGTAGTTTCAAATTTAGGTTGGATAAATACATGAGTGAGAGGGGTTGGATTTGAGTGGGACTTGCACATCAGAGCTTATTCCTTGGATAGCATTGAAAATTGGGTTGGGCATATGTTTTGTTAGTGGGATGAATTGTAAAGGACCTGCCTAGTATGGGCCAACAGGCCTGCTGCAATGTTCCTCCTTTCTTATGTTCTTATGTTAACTGGATACATAAGTGGCAAATGTGGAGACAGCAGAAGCAGCGGAAAGGTAAAAATGGTGTGGTCAGTCCACCAATGTAAAATTTAAGTAGTAGTCTCAAGTGGTCATTCAGTCTGGAGATGTGTTCAACCTCGCCAACTTTGAAGCCGAACACATCTCCAGACTGAGGGACTGACCACCACAAACTACTTCTTCAAGGCGGATGGAATAGTTACGTTTGCTTCTGCCATCTTCATATTTGCCACTTCTGTATTCTGCTGAAGAATACACAAGTATGGTAAACTTCCAGAATAAAGATATCTAACCGTTGCACAAACATTTATTATCAACTTTTCGGTATTGTATACCATTATCATATTGATTATTCCCAAGAAATGAAACAAATACAGTACTATCATTTATATAACATTGGAATACAGCACTGACAAGCAAATGATTGAACACATGTTCAGTAGATAGGTATCTTTATTTCCCAAGTGCTTCAGGTGCACAATAGACTTCCTCAGTCGAATACAGAGGTGATTAAATATAAAAACGGCTACAGCAATGAAGAGACAAGGAGGATGTGATCAATTTATCAGATAAAGAATCAGTTATGAGGAGGTCAGTCCTCAGCCTGGAGAAAAAGTCAGCTTCATAGTCTGGAACATTGTGAATCTGAAGCATTAAATTGGAACCTTACTGCTCAGTGTATACAGCAGATTCTAAGGTGCATGAAATCTGGGAAACGCCACAGGAGGCAGCGGCCAGTCTATCAACCAAAAACTTTTCTTTAGACTGAGGGAGAAGCCACTTCAAGAACTTCTTCAAGGTTGACCGACGGAATACATTGACTCCAGGCTGAGGGACTGATTACCTCAAACTCTTTCCACTGTATCTCTGAATTGCACTGAAGAACATAAACGTTGAACAAGTGTCTCAGTTACCAACCTCTCGGTTTTCTAAAGCATTTATTCAAACATTCTTACCTCGCCACTGATTTTGCTGTCTCCATATCTAGTCACCTCTGATATTCGACTTAAGAAGACTACTGAGAAGGCGAAAGTTTCCATAAAAAAGTTATCTATTTGTTGCAAATGCCTTTCTTACCCGTCTCCTTCCTTGTATTAAATATAATTTTCATATAGTCTTGACAATGTTCAAGAATATGGAACTGAACGCTTCCATGCTATGGGACTGACCACCTCAAAACTGTCACTTCAAGGCTTATGGACCGATCACAACCTCTTTACGTCTCCACTAATTCCTCAGTCTCACTAATTAGTCACCATTGTTGAAGTCAGTATAGGACAAAACCCACCTCGTATTTGCTCTGTCTGGCATCAACTTCTATCTGTCATCTACTTGTTCTACCTGGACCCTACTTGCTCTACCTCGACTCTACTTACTTGCTCTACCCGGATTCTACTTACTCTACCCGGACTCCACTTACTTGCTCTACCCGGACTCTACTTACTTGCTTTACCTGGATTCTACTTACTTTACTTGGGCTCTATTTACTTGCTTTACCTGGATTCTACTTATTTCCCCCTGACTCTACTTATTTTTCCAGGACTCTGCTTACTTTACCTGGACTCTGGTTACTCTACCCAGACTCTACTTATTTTACCCGGACTCTACCAAGACACTACTTATTCTACCGGGACTCTACCCAGACACTACTTATTCTACCCGGACTCTACCCAGACTCTACTTACTTGCTCTACCCAGACGTTCGTCGTCATGATTTGATTTTTCAAGTTCTGAAAAAATAAAGGAAATTGCATTAAAATTTTATTACGAATAAAACTCACTAGACTCGCTTTTTATTAACCATAACAAAAATACATTGAATAATAGCTGCTGGGGGGGGGTCTCGTTAATGTATTATTGTAGTTTATTATTTAATTTTTGTATTATTTTTATTGAGTGTGTATATATGGGAGAATTGTTAGTACGTACGTTTTTTTTGATAGACCTGGAAATATAAATATAAATTTTGTCGATGTGGACTGGAAAATCGAACAAATGAAAAGAGTTGCAGATTAAGGGACACGACTGATAATGGACACGACTTATAATGGACACGACTGATAATGGACACGACTGATAATGGACACGACTGATAATGGACACGACTGATAATGGACACGACTGATAATGGACACGACTGATAATGTACACGACTTATAATGGACACGACTGATAATGGACACGACTGATAATGGACACGACTGATAATGGACACGACTGATAATGGACACGACTGATAATGGACACGACTGATAATGGACACGACTGATAATGGACACGACTGATAATGGACACGACTGATAATGGACACAAATGATAATGGACACGACTTATAATGGACACGACTGATAATGGACACGACTGATAATGGACACGACTTATAACGGACACGACTGATAATGGACACGACTGATAATGGACACAAATGATAATGGACACGACTTATAATGGACACGACTGATAATGGACACGACTTATAACGGACACGACTGATAATGGACACGACTGATAATGTACACGACTTATAATGGACACGACTGATAATGAACACGACTGATAATGGACACAAATGATAATGGACACGACTGATAATGGACAAGACTGATAATGGACACGACTGATAATGGACACGACTGATAATGAACACTATTGATAATGGACACGACTGATAATGGACACGACTGATAATGGACACGACTGATAATGGACACGACTGATAATGGACACGACTGATAATGGACACGACTGATAATGGACACGACTGATAATGGACACGACTGATAATGGACACGACTGATAATGGACACGACTGATAATGGACACGACTGATAATGGACACGACTAATAATGGACACGACTAATAATGGACACGACTAATAATGGACACGACTGATAATGGGATGATGGTATTTATTACATTGTCTGAAATGTGAAGATGTATCATGGTAGGTAAAAAGACACAAGTAAAACTAATGACATTTTATTGTGGCAACGTTTCGCTCTCGACGAGCTTTGTCAAGCTGTTACTTGACAAAGCTCCTGGAGAGCGAAACGTTGCCACAGTGAAACATTGCATTAATTGCACTAGTCCTTTTTACCTAACATATTGTCAGTAATTCTGTCAACATTAATTCAAAATTCATCATATTTCTCTTTTAATTTTTAATTTTTTGAAAATTTTGGAAAAAATTGCATTTTCAATAAAAAACAATAAAATGAAATATTTTGACATTGACTTTGATACAATTTTCAATGTGCTTTTCATGAACATTGAATTTCTGAGAAAAGGCAGAAAATATCTGATTGATTCTTCAATTAATAATGAAACTACAAATATGAATATAAAAATAAATTACTAATAAGGAAATAATGTGTTACTAAATGTATTATCCAGAGAGCTGATGAGATAATGACGTGATTTGGACATTTAGAGAAGGTAGAGAAAAATAGGATAAACTGGTGGATTTAGCTGCATTGTAGGGAAGGAGTGGTAGGGGGTTATTCTATTAAGGATTGGAGGGAGGGGTAAAAGAGGTGGGAATGTATTCTCTTACATGTTATATCTGTATAGGAAACTAATGTATCCTTGACTGAAAAGATTCAGGTCACATGCAGCCTTCATAACCCTGTTGCGGTTGATAAGTTTTAAATCTAAGAAATCAACTAACAATGCATCATTGCAATATATGTACATCTAAAGGCGTATATCTGTGTATATATGCTAATAGATTAATTATTTCTGTCTTAGGAATTAAAATATCATCTACTTGTATTATAACATGGACTTTCAGCCATAATAAATGTTGAGCACTCCAGTGAGTGCTAACCCATTAAACCAACAACAATGTATCTCCTAGGCGCAGTGGACATCGGGAAGTGCAATTTAAAACATTTTTCTAACTTCACCCTTCCGTGAATAAAAGTTTAATATACTGTACCTATGGGAATTTGTTGTCCTGGCTGGACCCCAGAATTAAAAGGTTAACAGCCACTTAAACTTTGGCACCGGTTCAGTAATTAGTGTTGGTTACGAACACTCAGAGTCTCGGCAACTTTAGATTCATTAATTCTCAATAGACTTTTACGTGTCTCTTTACTAATATGGAGACTCTAGACAATACAGCATGTAATTACAAGGGAAGACATGAGAAACGTGGATAGTAGGAGGCCTACATTTACCATCAAGATTATTTGTTGAAAATGATTCACAACACATTGATTGTGACCTCTGTTCTATATGTAGTTGAGGAAAGGATAGGATAAAGGAAGGTTCTCTCATTTCTCTCAGTTGCTGCTGGCATGAAATAAATCTGGTGAAAAATTTAGTCTATAACATCTGTAACAACAACTATTTCTACAACAAAAACAACAAAAACTACAACTACTACTACTACTACTACTACTGCTAGTACTATTACCACAACCATTATTATTATAATTATTATTATTATTATTATTATTATTATTATTATTATTATTATTATTATTATTATTATTATTAAAAAAATTATTACTGCTACTAAACGAGATGAAACCAGTGCTGAAATTGTAATCTAGAATAACCAAAATATTACCTATACGTACTTAATACAAAGATAATGGAAAGAACAAGTACTGTTGCTCTTCACGTACCCTCAAAGAAAGAAGTCACAAACAGTTAGGTCCGGTGACCTCGCAGGCCACTTGCAAAGGTCACCGGACCTAACTGTTTGTGACTTCTTTCTTTGGGGGTACGTGAAGAGCACAGTTTACGTACCACCACTACCTGCAACCCTGGAGGAGCTGAAAATTTCGATCACTGAAGCAGTTCGAATGATAACTCCAGATATGCTGCAGAGTGTCGGGACCGAACTGGACTAACGCATCGATGTTTACCGAGCAACCAGAGGGGCGCACACTGAGTGCCTTTAATGCTACCCTATTCCACATGAAACTGAGAAATCCTGCATCTGAAGGTATTAACTGTGAAAGATTATTACAATAAATTTACTTGTTATACCTGTTTGAAATTAGGGAGTGTTTTCGTGGGCACCCTGTATGGTTGTAATGGGAAGTATGATAGAACCCATGTAACAAGGACTAGTGTGGTTGCTGGTGAATAGTCGAGAGGCGTAATCAGAAGACGAAATTTATGAACAGAAACTGCAACTAGGCGAGAATAACTATGTAAACAAGTGATCAACATCTGATTATACTAACAACCTCGTTCTCAAATACCCGTACACTCAACTAACGCTGCAGAGGTCACACACGCTGCAGAGGTCACACACGCTGCAGAGGTCACACATGCTGCAGAGGTCACACACGCAAGAAACACAAATACCCGTACACTCAACTAACGCTGCAGAGGTCACACACACAAGAAACACAAATACCCGTACACTCAACTAACGCTGCAGAGGTCACACACGCAAGAAACACATATTCTCACCTTACCCTCAAATCCCACTATATTTACCAAATTTTCCATAGACCACAAACAAGAAGCATAGTTTCCTTCACTTCACCTCAACCCGCCCTACGCTTACCAAAACTGAACAAGCCTCACACGATAGACGTACCCTGGCTCACTTCACTCTCATCTCCCCAACCTCACAAAATAATACACCACATATTTTGTAACATTGTATTTTCGTTATATATTTTTGTTTGGGAATTCTTGTGTATTTGTCCGGTGTTTAAGATCCTGAGAAGAATTTTATAATTAAACTCTGAGATGTGACCTTTTTTCCCGGACTGACTGAGCAAGGAAACACACACGCACACAAGCTCTCTCTCTCTCTCTCTCTCTCTCTCTCTCTCTCTCTCTCTCTCTCTCTCTCTCTCTCTCTCTCTCTCTCTCTCTCTCTCTTTCTCTCCCTTCCTCATTCTAGGAATAGACTTAGTAAATTTGGACCACCGTATGGGACTGTAAACGTGGAGACCTATGATGATAGAGGTGGTTAGAAAAATCATTATACGTCATTACATTAATGATTCAACAAGGGAGAGAGAGGAGATGCAAGTATTTACCACCAGTATATGTAAAATGAATAAAAAAAATAAAAGAGCCCCCATGGGGCAGCAACCAGATAGTAAAGAACTCTAGAATATGGAGTTTAATATTGACGGAAGAGCAGGAAATGGGTGACGAAGAGGAAGAAACCAAAATTCGGAAGAAGAAGCTTTGAAGGAAGGAGAGAATTCTTTCATCAGTGCAGTGGGAAATGGAACTGGAAGATGAGTCAATAAATGAGACGGGATACTTAGCCGAGAGTTTCAGGAAAGAGATGAACTTTATCCCTAGAAGGGGAAATGACAAAAATATAACGAGCATGCAGTTCAACAAAAGATGAAGACAGGTGGAAAAATAAGTTACTACACCTTGAAAAAACAACAGAAACCGAAGAATAGACGAGAGTAGAAAAGTAATATTAACATGACCATTTTTTTTCCATCAAGATTCAGAGTGCATGAAAAGTATTCTCCTTTCTTTCCTTGGATTTTCCCCTTAATCTTACATCTTAAAGGAATTTTTGACCTATTGTTGGAAAACCTTAGTGAGTTCTGAGTTTAAACATGTTTCTGATTTTTCGGTCGAGCAATATATGAAACTGTTATACTCCTTACTAAAAATGTTCTAACAACTCTTTTAAGCCAAATATTAAAATTAAGATATTTCCACTAAAAGAACTTTGAGGTGTAACTTTAAATTATCGTATTGTTTACCACCAGCATAGGATATTCAGCT